ATTTCAAACGGGCCGCATCCGGCCCGCGGGCCGTAGTTTGCCCACGGCTGGGTTAGAGCAAGCCTGCGCTGTTTTAATTCTTTCTCAGGTGCTTTGCATCTACTGTTAGGTGTCAGGCTCAGACCTGAGCTGTTTGGTGTGAGCTCAGGTGACTGGCGTGAAGCCTGTGTAGGTGGGTTAGGGAGCAGGTTGGGGTCCGGCCCAGGACGGGTACCGCGCTGGGCACCGCTCCTCACCGGGAGTCTGAGCCCGCTGTTTTTGCACAGATTCTTGCGTCACGTGCCTGTGGTGTACGTGGATTACCCGGGACCCGCCTCGCTGACGCAGATCTACGGCACCTTCAACCGGGCCATGCTGCGGCTCATCCCGTCGCTGCGCACGTATGCGGAGCCGCTCACCGCCGCCATGGTGGAGTTCTACACCATGTCTCAGGTACGCAGGCTTCCCCGCCCCTCTGGTCATGGGAGGGCTCTGCCAGGAGACAGCTTTATTCCAACCCCTTGTTTAGCCAAGAACCTTTCTCCAGAGTCTGCCACCCAGCGTTCCCCTGCGCAGGTCGTGACTGCCTAGGTTTCTGTGCTGCTTCTTGCCCTGCACTGTTTCCCTATGAGGCTGGGGCTGTGAGCGGAGCCTGTCTGATCGGGCCGCAGTGTCTCTAGGGGCACCTGCTGTCTCACTGCTCTCGGCTGGACTCTCACCCCCACCTGCAAGGCCTCCCTCTGCCTTTCCTCGTTAGCATCTTAATGTTTACTAGAAGCGTCCCTTTGCCACTGGGTGAGCCCAGTGGTTCTCCCCGGCATCCCTGGGGCAGCCTGCCTGCCTGCCTTTCCCAGGGCCGTGAGGAGAACGCCCGCTTCCGTGCCCGGCCATCGTCCATCTTGCTCCAGGCCTTTGGGAGCGCTGCCGGGCAGGTTGCAACAACTTCCCCAGTTTTTAAAATTGTTTTTAATGGAGGGCTCTGCCAGGAGACAGCTTTATTCCAACCCCTCGTTTAGCCAAGAGCCTTTCTCCAGAGTCTGCCACCCAGGTTCCCCTGCGCAGGTCGTGACTGCTGAGGTTTCTGTGCTGCTTCTTGCCCTGCACTGTTTCCCTGTGAGGCTGGGGCTGTGAGCGGAGCCTGTCTGATCGGGCTGCAGTGTCTGTAGGGGCACCTGCTGTCTCACTGCTCTCGGCTGGACTCTCACCCCCACCTGCAAGGCCTCCCTCTGCCTTTCCTCGTTAGCATCTTAATGTTTACTAGAAGCGTCCCTTTGCCACTGGGTGAGCCCAGTGGTTCTCCCCGGCATCCCTGGGGCAGCCTGCCTGCCTGCCTTTCCCAGGGCCGTGAGGAGAACGCCCGCTTCCGTGCCCGGCCATCGTCCATCTTGCTCCAGGCCTTTGGGAGCGCTGCCGGGCAGGTTGCAACAACTTCCCCAGTTTTTAAAATTGTTTTTAATTTTGTATAAGTGTAGTTTTTTCCTACAAAATTATTGTTGTCATCATTGTAAATCTTTTTCTTTGTTTCAATTGTGGTTTTAATGAAAATCATATCTAGAAAGGCTCAACTTAGGAATTTCATTTAAAAAAATATTTTTAGAAGAGTATTTTGTAGGGTTTTTTGGGGTTTTTTTTCCAACATAAAATGAGCAACTTGGATCTAACTTAGTTCTGGACAGTTGTCCAGTTGTTCCAACACTATTTAATCCATCCTTAAGTGTTCTGGGGCTAGGTTCTTTATTTTTAATGTAAGAATGTTATACAGCATTTGGCCTTTCGACCACTTTTCATGTCTTAAGATACTCACATGTAACTCCATTTTCCCGGTTCCCGCAGGAGAGGTTCACCCAGGACACACAGCCCCACTACATCTACTCGCCCCGCGAGATGACGAGGTGGGTGCGGGGCATCTTCGAGGCCCTGCGGCCGCTGGAGACTCTGCCTGTGGAAGGGCTCATCAGAATCTGGGCCCATGAAGCCCTGCGCCTCTTCCAAGACAGGTAAGGCCACGGATCCGGGCAGTGCCGTCCCCCCACTTTGAGTCCCTCTGACCCTCTGAGTGGGGTTCAGTGAGGCTTGCCCGTCCCCTGTGAGCCAGGCTGAGCTCTGAGCTGGGAATGGAAGGAACAGAGGTGGCCAGGGCAGCCTTGTGTCTGGGATTCATCATGCCCACCCCTGACAGACGGGTGGCAGCGCACTGTGGCCGCCCACCCTGGTCACCTGTGACCGCCCACCCTGGTCACCTGTGGCCTTGGGGAGGCCCCTTACCCTCTGTCCAGTGGGCACCACACAAGGTAGTTACCTGTGGTGACCTGTCCAAACGCAGAGTTCACCGGTGAGTTAAAATGCCTTCTAACACGATGTGGCATGTGGCCTCCACAGCCACTCCCCCTTCCTTGTCCCCGTCTTGGTTCTCATCAAGGGGTTGCAGCTGCCTCTGAGGCATTGGATTTCTCTCCCACTGTTGGCCACTTGTGTCTGCTGTTGTCTTGTAAGCTTCGTGTTTTCCTTGTTACTTCGGGAAGGGAATTGCTAATGACTGGGATCAGTATCCATCACAGCCAGTTGTGGTCCGAGTCAGACCAAGTGTCGCAGTAAAAAGTTGAGTCTTTTTCTCATTTAAGGAATCTTGAAAGTTATTGACCTTGTAAAATCAGGACCTTTTTCTTGCCTTCTTTATAATTCCGTACAACCTTTGTTTTACAATAAATTCCTAATGTTTGTGTCAGTTTTTTCTTCTTACAGTTTTAATTTTATGTATTTCAACACTGCAATTTTTCACAGAATATTAGGCTCGTTTTAGGTTAGTGAGAAAAAGTTAAATTTGTGTTGCCTTAACTAAACGTTTAGTAAACAGTAGTTCTTAACTGACTTGGTATTTAATACAGCACCAAGTTTCCTATTGCATGTCATTTGGGGAAACGTGCCCATGAGCCAGATCTCACAACAGACAGGGAGGGCTCAGAGCGGATGCACGCAGGGCCAGGCCCTCGCCCTCCCAGGTGGCCATCTGCAGCAGGACCAGGTGAGCTCCTCTGGCCACTGCTAATCTCAGCTGCTGGGAGTCGCTGGCAGCTGGTTAGCAGTTACTCCCCTGGGAAAGCCCGGCCAATGGCTGCCTCCAGACTGACAGACTGAGAAAGAAGCGCTTGGCAGTTACTCCTGGAGACCAGTGTCCTGCCCCCAGGCAGCTGTTCTCATCCCGGCTTGTTGGGGTCTTGGTGCTGCCGTATAGACCCATGGTTTTCAGGCCAAGCTGCATGGCATCTCTGGGGCCCACGGGCTGCCTTACTGAGAGCCTGGAGCGAGGTGCGTGAGGCAGGGCCGGGGAAGCAGCACATGAGCCCTGGCAGCTCTGTGGTTTAAAAATGCAGTCTTTTCGTTGTTATGTGAGCTACCTTCGCTCTCCCCCCCCCCTTTTTTTTTAATGTATTTGTATTGATTTCAGAGAGGAAGGGAGAGGGAGAGATAGAAACATCAATGATGAGAGAGAATCATTGATCGACTGCACGCCTCCTGGAATTGAACCTGGGACCCTTCAGTCCATAGGCTGACAGACATTCTATCCACTGAGCCACACCAGCCAGGGCTTGCTCTCCCTTTTTTAACTTAAAAAATGAATTTTGAGCGCTAGCCGGTTTGGCTCAGTGGATAGAGCGCTGGCCTGCGGGTTGAAGGCTTTGATTACAGTCAAGGGCACATGCCCGGGTTGCGGACTCGATCCCCAATAGGGAGTGTGTAGGAGGCAGCCTGTCAGTTATTCTCTCTCATCATTGATGTTTCTATTTCTCTCTCCCTCTCCCTTCCTCTCTGAAATCAGTAAAAATATTTTTTAAATGAATTTTGAGCTGTAGTGCAATTTTCACAGCTTTCCCAAAATACCAGAGAAAGGTTTTGTTTAGATTTGAATGTAGGCATAGCCACCGTGCATCTCAGTTCTGATTGACTGCAGTAACTCCATGACATGCCTGCTCAGTGTAGTCACCTCTCAAGGTCCCCTCCCAGCTGTAGGGACAGGCACAGCTCACCTGCTTGCTGTTTTCTTCACGAGCCTGCACCTCCAGAGCTGCACACTGCGGTTCCCATCTGTCCTCAGCACCTGCGCTCAGAGCACTGTTCAACAAGCTGAGACCCTGGACCACGGTTTCTTCTTAAACCACGTGGTTAAGCCTTTCTAAGGGAGTTGTTTTCAGTGTAGTGCCATAGGTCTCAGGGTTTTATATTTAACTAGAGGCCCGGTGCATGAATTCGTGCATGGGTGCGGTCCGGCTGGCTGAGGGGAGGAGCCACGGGCTGTTGGCAGGCTGGCCTGGTCCCCTGGTGGAACTCCCGGTCGAGGGGACAATTTGCATACTGGCCTTTCATTATATAGGATGATAAAACATCGAATTGCTTAAGCATCTTGAGTTCAGATTCTCAGGTTTTTCCATTTGTAGAAAATGAAAATTTCTGGGAAAGACTGATCTCAGCCCTTGGAGTCACCCTTAACACACACAACCTGGTGTTCCTCCCCTCCCCCCCATTGGCCTCTGGACTCACACGCTGCTCTCCCGACAGGCTTGTGGAGGACGAGGAACGGCGCTGGACCGACGAGAACATCGACATGGTGGCTCTGAAGCACTTCCCCAACATCGACAAGGAGAGAGCCATGAGCCGGCCCATCCTGTACAGCAACTGGCTGTCCAAGGTGACCAGGCCCTGCAGTCAGCCATGTCCCTCCTCTGTGACCTGTCAGCCCTGCTCCCTCCTCTGTGGCCCCTGACCCCTCCTCTGTGACCTGACCCTGCAGTCAGCCCTGCTTCCTTCTCCTGTCAGTCAGCCATGCCCTCTCCTTTGCCTTCCTGTCGGTTAGAATGATCCTCTGACCAAAAAACGTGTCTGTCTGGAAGTGTGCTGTCAATGAAGGTGGTTACACGCGTGACGGTGACTGTGTCTCTGCAGCCGCTGATAACGTAGGGTTTTGGGGTAGAGTCCCCGGAGTGTGGCTGGACGGCTGTTTCTTCTCTCCATGCGATGGCTGCTCCAGCCAGCAGATGTGGCTCCAGCGTGTTTGCAGGGAAAGCCTCTGCTTCCCCTTCGCTCTTTCTTTCCTCATTTGTGTGAACGTTTCATACACTAAGATCCTCCACAGAAGCGACGTTTCCAGCACAGCCGCGAGCCGTCCTTTTCTCTGAAGAGGAGGTGGGGGCGCTTTAGTGAGCTGTCCTCTTGCTGTGCACGTCATTTGGTAGCAGCTGATTCGGGGGCATGTCAGGGCCACAGTCTAAAAGGGCGAGACAGGGACGTGGCCCAGCGGGAGAGGTCTTGGCGTCGGGTCTTCACAGGCTCGCGGGCCTCCTGGGTGTCAGGAAGGGCTTGCCAGGCAGAGGGCCCGATGGGAGCAAAGGCAGCGGGCAGGTGTGTTCATTGTGCTGGAGCAAGCATGTCCAACTCCAAGGCCCACACGGCCAAATAAACAAGGGTTAAGTGTATGTGGCCGCAAAAAAAAAAAAGCTTCAATTTTTATAGAAACGTAGGTTTATTTCTGTAGAGACATGCTGAACACAAAGGGCTGAGGTAAATGAGTCATCGTTAACATAAAATAATAGAACATTTTAATAAAAATATTTTTTCTTGACCATTAACTCATCAGACACTGAATAACTGCACAAATTAATAAGCATAACACAAATAAGCCTATTTTGTTGTTCTCTGAAAGCAACATATTTCCTGTTGCGCACACCAAACAAGTCAGTCCAAGACTAATGACATGGCCATCGGCTGCTTAAATATTCGCTGCTAGTATTAGTGGAGAGAAATGGTGCGCCTGCGCATAAGGTGTGTATGGTAAATGAATGCAACACAATTATAGTAATCAGTCATTAGCAAACACTGTAGTTTGTTATTAACAATTATGTATAACAGGATATTGTAAGAATTAAGCTAACAAAATTTTTGTTAAAATGTTTCTTACATACCGTTATATTGGCTGGGCAGTTTGACATGCTTGTGCTAGAATCTGCAGTTTACTTCCAGACTCGAGATGCTAATCCTTCAGTTAGAGGCAGTAGCTCCTCCCAGTGGCTTGTCTTTTCACTCTTTGGTGGTTTTTGAAAAACAAATGTTTTTTGTTTTTAAATATATTTTTATTGGTTTTAGAGAGGCAGGGAGAAAGATACAAACAGCAATAATGAGAATCATTGATCAGTTGCCTCTTACATGCCCCTTACTGGGATTGAGCCACAACCAGGCATGTGCCCTGACCGGGAATTGAACTGGGACCTCCTGGTTCATAGGTCGAAGTTCAACCATTGAGCCACACCGGCCGGGCGAAACAAATGTTCTTAAAGAAAATACTATTGAAATCCATAATTCATCAGTAGTTTTTGTGTATGGAGTGAGCTATGGATGCATTTTCTTTCCTGTGAACATCCACGGTCCCAGCACTGTTGAATGACCTCTACTCTGCAGTCACTATCAAAATGGACTTCTGTGTGCACGGGTCTGTTTCAGAGCTCCGTCCTGTCCACTGATCCGTTTGTCGCTTCCTGTGCGCAAACCACATCCTCCTGATGACAGTGATAAGTCTGTCTGATCTAGGGCCTCACCCCTGGCTCTTCTGTAGGGAGGTCCTGACCTTTGGGCCTCTCCTCTCCAAATGACATTTAGAATTGGTTTGTCAGGCTGCAGCAGAACTGCCACCCACTGCTGTGATTTCGGCTGGGATCCCATTGATTGTCTGTGGGTGGGAGTGGCCTGTGCACGGTCGGTGCTTTTTCTGCAGGACCGTGGTTCTCTCCACGTACATAGGTCTCCCTCGTGTCTTCAGGGAGTCGGCCTTCTCTGCAGATTCTCTGTGTTTCCAGATCTAGTCCCAGTTACCTTGTGTTTTTTCTTGGCTGTGTTGTAAATGACATCTTTCATTGCATTTTTAACAGAGGGTCATTCAATCATGTGGATATATAATTGACTTTGGTATAATAACTAAGATCATTTCTTCTTAGTAATTTGGGTCTTACCTTTCTTCTCCAGGATTACATCCCAGTAGACCAAGAAGAGTTAAGAGATTATGTCAAAGCGAGGCTGAAAGTCTTCTATGAAGAAGAACTTGACGTTCCTCTGGTCCTATTTAATGAAGTGCTGGACCATGTGCTCAGGATCGACCGGTGGGCTTCTTGTTATCACAGCTCCCCACTCACCTGAGCTGCTCTGGGGGTGGGGGGTTGGTACAGGGACCAGTGCTCTTCTCCCAAGTCCCACCTCAGCCCCCCCGGCCAAGGGGCCCCCCTTCTTTATGAGTCCTGCTTTTCTGTCCCCCACTTGCCTGCTAAGCAGACCTCTGTCAGCTCCTCCTAGTTCTGCACACCTGTGCTGACAGCCCTTTCCACCTCCTAGACCTGTCTCCCTCGTGCCATCGGATCTTTTCATTGCACTGGACCTGGCAAATAAAAATGTTAAATTGTTATTTAACAAATTCAAGTTAAAACACATTAGAAATGTTGTAGACTGAATCCTAGAAAAGTGCAGAACACGAGTATCAAAAGGAAAATGCAGCGTAAAGCCTTAAATGTATTCTTTCTGGTACCGTTTCAGAATATTCCGCCAGCCTCAAGGCCACTTGCTTCTGATTGGGGTCAGTGGAGCGGGAAAAACCACCCTGTCCCGATTCGTGGCCTGGATGAACGGTTTGAGTGTGTACCAGATCAAGGTGGGTCTCCGTAGGCTCTTCATCCAGCAGTGGGTTCTGGTTCCTGCTCGGAGCTCCTGGGGTGAGAGGGCCTAACCTGCCGCTGCCCCCGCAGGTCCACAGGAAGTACACGGGGGAAGACTTTGACGAAGACCTTCGGACAGTGCTGAGACGTTCTGGCTGCAAAAATGAAAAGATAGCGTTTATAATGGACGAGTCCAACGTGTTGGATTCTGGATTCCTGGAGCGAATGAATACACTTCTGGCCAATGGAGAGGTGATGCAGTGGCCTGTTGCCCTGGTGGCTGTTCCGTGGTGGCGTCACCAGGACCCGTCGGGCATGGTGCTGTTTATCTCGTAGGTCCCTGGTCTGTTTGAAGGCGATGAGTACGCCACCTTGATGACCCAGTGCAAAGAGGGGGCCCAGAAGGAGGGCCTGATGCTGGACTCGCACGAGGAGCTGTACAAGTGGTTCACCAGCCAGGTCATCCGCAACCTCCACGTCGTCTTCACCATGAACCCGTCCTCCGAGGGGCTCAAGGACCGCGCGGCCACGTCCCCGGCTCTTTTCAACAGGTACACGGTCTGCGCTCAGCTCTGGGTCAGCACATGGTTTCCCTCCGGGGCAAACCCTGCCTTGGCCGCCGTCTGAGACTCGGGCCTTCCTGCAGGTGTGTGTTGAACTGGTTTGGGGACTGGTCCACGGAAGCGCTCTATCAAGTTGGCAAAGAATTCACCAGCAAGATGGACCTGGAGAAGCCGAATTACATTGTGCCCGACTACATGCCGGTCGTGTACGACAAACTGCCGCAGCCACCGTCACACCGGGAGGCCATCGTGAACAGCTGTGTGTTTGTCCACCAGACTCTTCACCAGGTGGGTCACAGAGCGGGGCCCTGTGGTGCTTCACGGTCGCCCCTGGGCCGTCACCTGCCACAGAGATACCCTGCTCTTCTGCTTCCCGACCTCTGTCGACATCTCCTTGTCACTGCCCTTTCCTGCCCCCGATTCTCCGTACAGTGTTCTCTCCTGTGCTCACTGACGCCTGTGTCCGGGCCTGTGCTCTCCTCACCCGGGGATCCGCGTACTGTTTCTGTAAAGGGCCAGACAGTAAACGTCTCAGGCTTTGTGGGCAGACAGGGCTCTGGCTCTGCCCGTGTAGCACAGGAGCCCCGCAGTCCCGTGTAGACGGATGGGCGTGCTGTGCCGCCTGCTTCCTGCACAGGAACGTGCGGGGGCAGGGCTTGCCTGGGCCTGGCTGCTGACCTTGCACCTGACTCTGGTAGAAGCGTCCAGTCTGCTTCCACCTGAAAAGCCTGTAAAAACTACTCTGAGCTTGTGGGGGTTCTGGCGGCCAGTGCCCTGCCCTCCACACCCCCATCACACCTGCGGGCACCTCCATGGCTTCCAGAAGGCCGTCCAGCCCTGGCTTCCTGCTGGCCACAGGTCCCGCCGCTGTGCGCCACACGTCCCCTCTGGCAGAGGGCAGCGTGGTGACGGGGAGCCTGTGCTGCCTTGCCCGGGGCCGGCTCTCGTGGTGGTGTCCACAGAAACAAGCAGCGGCCGCAGAGGAGGCGTAGCTGACCGTAGCAATCCCGTTGTAGTTCCACAGCGACCACACCGCCATCACCCTCCCCAGGAAGCGCGTCTGAGGGTGCCAGATCCCCTTCCTGTCTTAGAGGAGCTTGAGGAGAAAACTGAGGTTTCAGGGGTTTTCAAGACCTCGCAGGAGGCTGAGCCAAGGCCCCAGCTCAAGTGTTGTGGCCCCTGAGGGCTGGGTACCTGCCAGGTGTCAAACTGTGGCCAACAGGCAGAACAGGGGGGGTTTTTGAGGTTAAATCACAGAGAATGTCCTGAAGAGTGAAAGGTTTAACTTTATTTTCTAAAAGGCTAATGCTCGGCTCGCCAAGCGGGGTGGCAGGACGATGGCCATCACGCCTCGCCACTACCTGGACTTCATCAACCACTACGCCAACCTGTTCCACGAGAAGCGCAGCGAGCTGGAGGAGCAGCAGATGCACCTGAACGTCGGGCTCAGGAAGATCAAGGAGACCGTGGACCAGGTACTCGCCGCACGGCCATGTTACACGGTGCACAGCAGTGAGGGCCTCTGAGTGGTTATCCACGGTCCTCCCTCCCTGGCGTGGATTTTGTGTTTCAGGTAGAAGAGCTGCGTCGTGACTTGAGGATAAAGAGCCAAGAGCTGGAGGTGAAGAACGCGGCTGCCAATGACAAGCTGAAGAAGATGGTGAAGGACCAGCAAGAGGCCGAAAAGAAAAAGGTGAGTTTTCATTTCAGGATCTGCAGCCCTCGTGAGCCGGGCGTTTTCCGTCTCTGAGGAGGGTGGGGACTGCGGACTGAGGTGGCTTTCGGGGTTTAACAGGTTAATGGGGTGGTGGTGCTTGGGGCAGGGTGAGGAGTGCGGCTCTAGGAGCCACTTGGCAGGTTACCCATCCGTAGTCCAGCGCTGAGCCGGCCTCCCCTTCCAGGTCATGAGCCAGGAAATCCAGGAGCAGCTGCACAAGCAGCAGGAGGTCATCGCAGACAAGCAGATGAGCGTCAAGGAAGACCTGGACAAGGTGGAGCCCGCCGTCATCGAGGCCCAGAACGGTAAGGGCTGTCTTCGGCCCTTAAAGCAACGTTCCCGTCCAGCTAGGCTGCTTCCACCTTAGCAAAGCCCTTCTCATGAGGAAACTGACAAAACAAGCTTCGTGCTGATACAAATTTTCTAAAAATCTGGTGATGACTTAAATAGGCCATTTGTAATTCTGGCTTGAATTTCAGCAAGAAATACTCTGAAGTGTGCAGTGTTGCCCCCTGGTGGTCATGTCTGAGAGTGCTCCGGTCGTGGCCGGTGGCTACTGATTTTTAAGTGGTGACCACAGTGCTTCCCATTCCTTCCCCCATGGCTCGCGCCCTGTGGACCGTGGCTGCAGGGGCCAGACCTGCTTGGTTGGCAGTCTACACGGTATTAGGAGCGGCCTCACCCCTGTGCCCCCTGCCTGCTCGCTAACATTGAACTTGTTTCCGGTAACTCGTTATGTCGTCTCCATATCACACCACAAGATAAACTAACAGGCACCATCCAAACTATACGTTTTTACTCATAGTTGGACGTAGGCGAGAATTTAGTTCTCATCTGCTGAGTAATGGCTTAAAAAGTGTTTTAAATCAAGTTCAGGCTGGAAAACTGCCTTTCAGCTTGTGGAAGGCGCTGGCCATTCTTAGGCCTGTTGGGTCCATGTCTTCACACAGCAAGTCAGGCAGCTTCTAGACTGGCCGGTCGAAAGCCTCTTTGTTTAAACTGTAGGAAATGCAGTTACATTATGTGTAAAAACATTTTTTAAATAGTTCCGGATCCTTCCTGAGGCAGTTTTAAAGGTGACAGCCTGCTTTTCACAGTGTTGCAGTTTGTGCTCATTCAGTAAGCTCTCCACGACTGTTTAAAAGACCGGCTGCTGAAGCTGTTCCGGGGTTTAAGGACAGAAACTCAGCTGTTCCTGAGCAGTCGGAGTCAAAGTGTCTGGCTGTGGTGTGCTCCCTTCTCACTGCCATGCTCTCTTCTCCCCCCAAACCTCTTCCGCCTCCACTGCGCTCAGCTGTGAAGTCCATCAAGAAGCAGCACCTGGTGGAGGTGCGGTCCATGGCCAACCCCCCTGCCGCCGTGAAGCTGGCGCTCGAGTCCATCTGTCTGCTGCTGGGCGAGAGCACCACGGACTGGAAGCAGATCCGCTCCATCATCATGCGGGAGAACTTCATCCCCACCATCGTGAACTTCTCTGCCGAGGAGATCAGGTGAGCAGGGCGGGGCCGCGGGACTGCAGGTGTCGAGGTGGTGGTTGCTCTGGCGCAAGTTGTGTCAGTCACGGAGATGCCTTTCCAGGCCACTTCCCCCCGAGGAGTCAGGTTTTTCCCACGTTCCTGCCGGGCTTTTCTGGTCCCTTCACCCCTGCGAGCCAAGCCCGGGCTGCAGAGCTGGCCCCAGCCTGTCTCCTGTCAGGGAGGCGAGAGGCCGAAGGCCAGAGTCCTCAGCAGCTGCGTCCACTGTCACCTAGAACGAGGGTCGGAGTGGCCGGTCCTCCGTGGTCACTGGGCAGCAGATGGGAACTGGCCATCCCATTGGATTTCCTACAAGCTCTGCTTCACTTCGCCTGGCACGTACTTAGAAACACGCCTCCTCTGTTGCAGTGATGCCATAAGGGAGAAGATGAAGAAAAACTACATGTCCAACCCGAGCTACAACTATGAAATTGTGAACCGGGCTTCCCTGGCCTGCGGGCCGATGGTGAAGTGGGCCATCGCACAGGTAAGGAGCCCAGGAGCCCAGGAGCTCCCGTGCGCAGCGACCTCCTGTGCAGTCGCTTGTGAGTAAGAGTTCCGTCCGCCCTCCTCAGCTCAACTACGCAGACATGCTGAAGCGCGTGGAGCCTCTGCGCAACGAGCTGCAGAAGCTGGAGGACGACGCCAAGGACAACCAGCAGAAGGCCAACGAGGTGGAGCAGATGATCCGGGACCTGGAGGCCAGCATTGCCCGCTACAAGGAGGAGTACGCGGTGCTCATCTCCGAGGCCCAGGCCATCAAAGCAGACCTGGCCGCTGTTGAGGCGAAAGTAAGTCCTCGGGGACCCGCGACGTTTCTGCCCACCCCCGGATTCTGTCTCGGCGTCAACACCCATGAACACGTGCTGCACGCACCATCTTTGTCTCGGCGAGTTAGCGCTGTCATGGCTGAGAGGGTGCTGGGACTCTGAGTGGCATTTAGGTAGATGCCCCTGGGCGGGCTAAAACCAGTGCACCCCCCCCCCCCCCCCCCAGCTCCAAACCTGTTTGTTCTCCAGTCACCGAGGGCCTCCTTGTGTCCCCATCATTGCTCACACCCGCCCTCTGAGTCCTCAGAATACTCTAATCTCTGCCCCTGCATCTTCCCTACAGGCCAGCCCTTTCCTGCTGTCCCTTCCACCGTCCTTCCTGCTCACACACAGGCTAATACACCGTCTCCTTCGGGCTGTGACCTGGAGCCTGCTTGTATTCCCAGCCCGCCCCCAAGCCTGCACACTGTGTGGGGAACGGCGTGCACTTCCCTGTGTAGACCCTGCTGCTTGTCCTGTAGGTAAACCGGAGCACTGCCCTTCTGAAGAGTCTGTCTGCTGAACGCGAACGATGGGAAAAAACAAGCGAAACCTTCAAAAACCAGATGTCGACCATCGCTGGGGACTGTCTCCTGTCGGCGGCGTTCATTGCTTACGCGGGTTACTTCGACCAGCAGATGAGGCAGAACCTGTTCACCACTTGGTCCCACCACCTGCAGCAGGCCAATATCCAGGTACAGCCCCGGGAGCTTCCTGGGGGGCGAGCCTAACCGGGTCCAGGAAACGGGCCCCGCCCAGCAGCGTGCAGCGAGGAGCGCTAACCGCCCTGCCCCTCAGTTCCGCACAGACATCGCCAGGACGGAGTACCTTTCCAATGCTGACGAGCGCCTCCGCTGGCAGGCCAGCTCCTTACCTGCCGACGACCTGTGCACAGAAAACGCCATCATGCTCAAACGCTTCAACAGGTATGCGGGTTGCCAGGCCGTGTGCAGGCCCCATTTCCAACCCCCCTCCTCGTGGGCAGGCCGTGCTGACCGGTCTGTGCTCCCCTCCGATGGCGGGGGCACGTCCTTCTGTTCGGTCTCGGCGTCTGACTCGCTCTGCAGTGACTGTTTCTGCTCTAACCTGATGAAACTGAATGGCCGGGTTGTGTGCCGGGTGGACATTGAACAGACCAGACCCTCTCTTGAAATGTTGGAACTGAAACTACTCAGCTTGCAGTAGTGTCACAGGAGAAATGGCTGCCAGAGTGAGACATGGACCGTGACTCCACGAAGGTGGGCTAGACCCTGCCGGTCACAGAGCTCTCAGGCTCGGCCCTCTGCAGCTGCTCTCACACCCGGTGTCCTCGCTGTTTTCTTTAAAGATTTTTAAAATTGATTTTTAGTGAGAGAGAGGAGGATAAAGAGAAACATCAATGTGAGAGAGCTAAACATCTATCGAGTCTGCAACCCGGACATGTACCATAACTGGGAATCAACTGGCAACCTTTTGTTTTGTTGTATGGGACACCGCCCAACCGAGCCACACCGGCCCGGGTTGTTTTTTTTAAAACCTTATCCTCAGGTTTATTTTTAACCTCATCTGGACGTGTTAGAACCTGTGAGCCCTTGCTGTGTGCCATTGGTCCAGGGACACAGACGATGAGACTCTGCCAGTGTTGTTGGAGTTCAGGAGCAAACCCTCAGGTCCCATGAGCATCTCAAGATGTTGCCCCGTCTGTGGTGTGTGGAGCTGGATCCGCTCATGGAAAGCGCACACACTTCTAGGTGTTGATTCGATAGCTGGCACGTGGGGCCAGAGTGCGCAAGCGGAAGGTGGGGTGCCGAGGGTGCCCTTGTTAGGCCCATGCACGGGAGGCCGGGGGTCTTTGCCAGCCCGCTGTCCACACAGAGCCGTGCACGCACCAAGGGGGCTCCGGCAGACGGGGTGAGGCCAGGTGCTGAGCAGGGGGGTGTGCTCCCCCTCGGACACACGTCTATAAACGCCTAATCTTCTTCACACAGACCAACCAGAAATTGGGGGCTTCAGGGGGATTCTTCTCACTTTTGTAGCTTCTGAACTTTATAGAAGCATATGTGTGTGTATATTACGTTTTAAACTTTGTCTTAATTGGCTGTGTGACCCTGAACAGATTTTTAGCCTCTTCGTTCCTCCTTTATAAAAACAGGTGTGAGAACATGCCTCATGGGATTATGGCTGACAGGTGCAGCCGTAGCACTGACGTCCCTACCCACAAAGGGCCGTGCCTAGTGCACAGAACAGCCATTCTGACCGTGTGCTCAGCCGAGAGAGGGTGTAACTGCAGCCCTGCTCAGCCTCTCTGTTCGGTCACCATTGTCATTAGTATCTGGAAACCACACCTGAGCGGCAGTAGCCTCTCCACCTGCCTTGTCTGGCTCGGCGCCCCCCCGCTCCCCCCACCATGTTCTTGCCTTCCTGTTGCCTTCCCCGACCGGCTCCTCCACCTCGTCCTCAGGTACCCGCTGATCATCGACCCCTCGGGACAGGCCACGGAGTTCATCATGAACGAGTACAAGGACCGCAAGATCACGCGGACCAGCTTCCTGGACGACGCCTTCAGGAAGAACCTGGAGAGCGCGCTGCGGTTCGGGAACCCGCTGCTGGTCCAGGTCTGTGCCTCTGAGCTCTTCACATCCTGCTTCCGAGAGGGAAGTCCTGTGAGGAGACGTTCAGTTGTTTCAAACACAGAACGTCCATGTGAAAGACACCTGACTGACTGGTACAAAGGGGCAGACTGTGAGCTTTGTGAGCCTTCCTGTGGCAGAGCAGGGAAAGCTTAGAGAGTGTCCTGTTAGAAAACAGACCCAACAAAAGCAGGGCTTGCATGTAGATGCCCCTTAGCTGGTCCCGTCCCCTGGCAGTGACGGAGATGCCCGGCCGTCGTGGGCACGTCTGGCTAACGTGACTGAGGGACGGAGTGTTTTTAAAGCAGCCGCTGCGGCTCTGGCTCCGTGTTGCCAGTGCTGGTCTGAGTGGCTGGTGCGCTGGGAAGGTGTGCTCACCGGAGCGGGACGTCTGTCGAGGCACCCTCACTGGTGCACACAGCGCTCACCCCGGCCATCTCCACGTGTGTCTGCAGGACGTGGAAAGCTACGACCCGGTGTTGAATCCGGTGCTGAACCGCGAGGTGCGGCGCACGGGAGGGAGAGTGCTGATCACCCTCGGGGACCAGGACATTGACCTGTCCCCCTCCTTCGTCATCTTCCTGTCCACCCGCGACCCAACCGTAAGGAGCGAGGCCCTTCCCGTAGGCACATGGCATAGTGGGGTCGAGGCTGACGCATCAAAGCAGACGGTCCCGTTACCCCTTCCGGCAGGTGGAGTTCCCTCCAGACCTCTGCTCCCGGGTCACCTTCGTCAACTTCACCGTCACCCGCAGCAGCTTACAAAGCCAGTGTCTCAATGAGGTGCTCAAAGCAGAAAGACCTGACGTGGACGAGAAACGCTCCGACCTTCTTAAGCTCCAAGGTACGTTCCTGGGTGGGGCTGGGGGTACGGAGGCTGGGCTTCGAGGGGCCGATGTTGCGGGCGTGCGCCGGGCTCTCGGAGCGCGTCCCTTCTTAGCCAGGGAGCGCTGCCGCAGACCCCGCTGTCGGTTGTTCCAGGGGAGTTCCAGCTCCGCCTGCGGCAGCTGGAGAAGTCCCTGCTGCAGGCGCTCAACGAGGTGAAGGGGCGCATCCTGGACGACGACACCATCATCACGACGCTGGAGAACCTCAAGCGGGAGGCCGCCGAGGTGACGCGCAAGGTCGAGGAGACCGACATCGTGATGCAGGAGGTGGAGACGGTGTCCCAGCAGTACCTGCCGCTGTCCACCGCCTGCAGCAGCATCTACTTCACCATGGAGTCCCTGAAGCAGGTGACCGCAGGGCAGGGGCCGGGGCCGGGCGAGGGCACGCGGTGCCGGGTGGGTGCTGACGGCCCCGTCGCCTCCTCGGCAGATACACTTCCTGTACCAGTACTCGCTGCAGTTCTTCCTGGACATCTACCACAACGTCCTGTACGAGAACCCCAACCTGAAGGGCATCACGGACCACACGCAGCGCCTCTCCATCATCACCAAGGACCTCTTCCAGGTTCGGCCGCTTGCTGTCGGGCGGGGTGGGGCGGCGAGGGCAGCGGGGCTCCTCGGAGCAGCAGCATTTCCTGCTTTGGCCCCCAGGTGGCGTTCAACAGGGTGGCCAGGGGCATGCTGCACCAGGACCACATCACCTTCGCCATGCTGCTGGCCAGGATCAAGCTGAAGGGCACCCTCGGGTAAGGCGGCGCCGGCCCACTCCATCCTAGGCGGGCACTGTCCTGTCAGTCATGCGGCTCTCAGTGACAGGGGTGTCTAAGACACCTACTAGCCCATCACCCTTTGCAGGGAGCCCACCTACGATGCGGAGTTCCAGCACTTCCTGCGAGGGAAGGAGATCGTGCTGACGGCCGGCTCCACGCCCACCATCCAGGGCCTGACTGTGGAGCAGGCGGAAGCCGTCGTGAGGCTGAGCTGCCTCCCTGCGTTCAGAGACCTGATCGCCAAGGTTCAGGCCGACGAGGTGGGTGCTGACGTTCCTCTCCCCGGGAAACGCACCAGGAGTGTGTGTGGTGCACACCAGAGCCTCCTGCTTGTGCGCCTGCGGTACCAGGGCCACCTGTGCCCACGAGCATGGGCTCTGCTCGCGGTGACGCTCCCACTGTGTCTCCACAGCAATTTGGCATCTGGCTGGACAGCAGCTCCCCCGAGCAGACGGTGCCCTACCTCTGGAGTGAAGAGAGCCCCGCAAGTGAGCCCCGTCAGGCCCCGTCATTCCCCCCCCCCCGGGCCCCGCAGCCACTGGTTCCCGAGAGCAGTGTCTGTGCTGAAGCTTTAGGAGTCGGCTTAGCAGTGGGAGAGCAACCCTTGCTCATGCCTGTCCCCTCTCATGCTTCAGGACCCAACGAGAAATGATAGGAAGGCCCTTGCCCAGCATGGAGGGGAGATGGGCTGTTACTGTGTGTGTGGCCAGCAGGCCCCTAGAGGTGGGGTGAGCACCAGCCACAGGCCACGGGGAGGGCTGGTGATGACTGCCCTGCTCTGTAGATGGAGGATTCAGGGCTCTATCTCCACAGTGAATGGGTACAGTGTGTCATTTAAAATCCTAAGTGCCCAGTGCCCGTGAAGGTGTCCTCCTGTGTCCAGGGGCTCGCTGAGGACCAGGACGGGCAGTTCTCCCGGGCAGAGAGGACCAGAGGCAGTGTTGCGACTTCTGAGGGGCTGAGTGTTTGCTGATTAGAGACTCCTCCCGAGAAAGTCCAGGCTGGGGGTCAGCTCAGTCAGTGCTGTCACCAACTCCCACCCTTCGCACGGCCTCGTTTCAGCGCCCATCGGGCAAGCCATCCACCGCCTGCTCCTGATCCAGGCTTTCCGCCCCGACCGCCTGCTGGCCATGGCCCACGTGTTTGTCTCCACAAACCTCGGGGAGTCCTTCATGTCCATCATGGAGCAGCCGCTCGACCTGACGCACATCGTGGACACGGAGGTGGGCCTCGTCGCAGGGCTCTCCTCACTCCGCACGGGGCCATGCTGTCCGCTGGACGCCCGAGCTGAATCCCGACTTCTTCATCTGCAGGTAAAGCCGAACACGCCTGTCCTCATGTGCTCCGTGCCTGGTTATGATGCCAGCGGGCACGTGGAAGACCTGGCAGCCGAGCAGAACACGCAGATCACATCCATCGCGATCGGTAAGGGGGCGGGGGCGGGGGCCTGGTCACGGTCTGGGTGGAAGCCCCACGCTCCCGCCTGCGGCCTGCGTGCTGACTCAGCTTCTGGCCCCAGGCTCAGCAGAAGGCTTCAACCAAGCGGACAAGGCCATCAACACGGCGGTGAAGTCGGGCAGGTAGGCCTGCTGTGCTTGCTCAGGACTCCTGGCTCCCAGGGGCCGACAGGAGACTGAGCGTGGCGGCTCTCGCTCTGCCTGCAGGTGGGTGATGCTGAAGAACGTGCACCTGGCCCCGGGGTGGCTGATGCAGCTCGAGAAGAAGCTGCACTCCCTGCAGCCGCACGCCTGCTTCCGGCTCTTCCTCACCATGGAGATCAACCCCAAGGTGGGCGCCGGGGGAGTCTGGCGGACATCCTGCCCAGGGGGGGTGTGGGCACCTGAGCCACAGCGCCCAGCACACCAGAGCGGTGACAGGCCCCTCTTCTCAGGTGCCCGTGAACCTGCTCCGAGCCGGCCGCATCTTCGTGTTTGAGCCGCCCCCGGGGGTGAAGGCCAACATGCTGAGGACATTCAGCAGCATCCCCGTCGCACGGATATGCAAGGTGAGGCCTGCGTTAGTCCGTCTTAGCAAAGGCAGGCCCGTCGCCGAATTCAGGCGCCGCCTCCATGCTCCCCAGACACCCAGAGGGCCCGTCCGCAGGTGGTTTCCTAACTGCCGGCAGTTCACATGCGGTGAAAGGTTAAAGTACACGTACTCGGTGTGGGGGCAGGGCTGTGACACGCCCATGGCAAAGTTCTGGAACCCATTTGTATCCCAGATGCTGGGGAATCCATTGCTCCCGTCATGGGCACCCCGAGGGGTGGGCAGGAGGAGGGGCGTTCTTCATGCTGCAGTTGACCTGGAACAGTGTGACCTCTGCAGTCAAAAATCCACGTGTCACTTGACTCCCCGAAAACCTCTCACTTGACTCCCCGAAAATCTCTGCAGTCAGTGTCTGGGTTGATGCCAGGATTCCGGTGGATACCAAGTCCCATGCTGCTCACGTCCCCTATGCAAATGGTGCAGAACATGACATGTCATCAGCCCTCCACACCTGGGGGTGCAAAACCCAGCAATAGGAAGAGCTGACTATTTATTGAAAACAAGTCCACGTGTAAGTCGACCCGTGCAGTCCAAACCCACATAGTTGGAGGCCAGCTGTGTTTTATGTTGTGCCAGGACGCACCGTCATCCGCATCACTGTTGGCTGAATCACCTACCTCAGCAGTGTCACTAACCACACCTCTCGTTTGTGTTCACCTGCCGCATAGTGAGCCCTGCAGCTCACGGTGGTTCAAAGACTCGATTCCCACGAGGATCGGCACTGTTTTCCCAGACCGAAAGGGCGCTGCTCTCTGGTGACCCGTCCTTGGTAACTTTCCTCCCGTAGTCTCCCAACGAGCGTGCGCGCTTGTACTTCCTGCTGGCCTGGTTCCACGCCATCATCCAGGAACGCTTACGGTATGCTCCCCTGGGCTGGTCAAAGAAGTACGAGTTCGGGGAGTCGGACCTGCGGTCAGCCTGCGACACCGTGGACACGTGGCTGGATGACACGGCAAAGGCAAGTGTGGGCTGTGCCTGGTCAGAGGGAGGGGAAGCCTAGAAACATTCCCGGTTGTGAGGGCAGCTTAGAAACCAGCGGGCAGCGTGAACGACCTGCTAGGTGTGAGTGTGAGGGAGGACCCTGCAGACGGGCCCAGGGCGTGCCCCCACCCCCTACTGACCAGCCTTTGCTCACCCAGGGGCGGCAGAACATCTCGCCGGATAAGATCCCCTGGTCCGCGCTGAAGACCTTGATGGCCCAGTCCATCTACGGCGGGCGCGTGGACAACGAGTTTGACCAGCGTCTGCTCAACACCTTCCTGGAGCGCCTGTTCACCACGAAGAGTTTCGACAGCGAGTTCAAGCTGGCCTGCAAGGTCGACGGGCACAAGGACATCCAGATGCCGGACGGCATCAGGTACGGCCGCTCCCTGCCCGTGCGGTCGGGACGCCAGGCAGTTCCCCTTCGCGCGTGACAGCACGTCCCATTTGCTGGTTTTCCAGGCGAGAGGAGTTCGTGCAGTGGGTGGAGCTGCTCCCCGACACCCAGACGCCCTCCTGGCTGGGCCTGCCCAACAACGCCGAGAGAGTCCTCCTCACCACCCAGGGTGAGTGCCCGGTCCCCTCAGGCCGCCCACGCCCGCTCCCGGGCAGCGACTTCACCCCGGCAGAGTCCTGCAGCTCAGGCGGGGCTGGGAGGCTGTGTCTGTGCAAGTGAGGGGGTCAGTCCACACTCAGAAAGCATTGTCGTCTGAGAGTTGGCAAGTACCCGGTACTGAGGGATGTTTTAAACCATCCGTCTCTTACTGGAATGTTTTTAGAATTTTTTCACTTGCCAGATGCTTTCCCAATAAGCATCTGATCCAGTGGTTCTCAAAGTGTGGTCCCCAGACCAGCATGAGCCTCGCCTGCACATTCTTAGAAAGGCAGGTTCTCAGGCCCACCCCACACCTCCGGACTCAGAACTGGCTGCTGGGGGCCAGCCATCTGTTTTGGGGAGGGGGTTGGTTTGTAGTTTTTAGAGAGAGAAGGAGAAAGAACATCGATGTGGGAGTGCGACGTGGATGGGCTGCCTCCTGCACGCCCTGTGGGTAACTCACTTTGTGGCCTCACATTGAAGTCCTTTCTTCCTCTGCTCTCCCTGTTGCCTCGCTGCCCCCTCCGCTGCTGGGACTGTGGCCCAGGCGTGGACATGATCAGCAAGATGCTAAAGATGCAGATGCTGGAGGACGAGGACGACCTGGCCTACGCGGAGACCGAGAAGAAGGTGCGGGCGGACTCCACGTCCGACGGGCGCCCCGCCTGGATGAGGACGCTGCACACCACCGCCTCCAACTGGCTGCACCTCATCCCCCAGACGCTGAGCCATCTCAAGCGAACAGTGGACAACATCAAGGTGGCCGGCGGGAAGGGCGGGGTCACCCAAGTCCAGGGGCTCGAGATGCTCTTAGCCAGGTGGCCGGTGGCAGACTGTGCTCAGTGCTGTCCCAAAGGCACTTGCCCAAGCCAGACGGGAGGCTGCCTCACTAAACGGCGAGTCCCGAAGGCTGTCCACCTCCCAGGAGCTGGGGCCTGGGCTGCTGCCTGTCAGCAGGACCCTGTCAGGTCCAACCAGCGTCATGGAGGTCGGGCCCAGATCCTGCTCGGGCAGCCGTGGGCACCTGCACGGTGCTGGGGTCCTGGGGCTGGTTACTGGGGAGGAGGCCTCTTCTAAACCCTCTTCCCTTCGCTCTGCCTTCGGTGCGAACCACCCTAGGACCCTTTGTTCCGATTCTTCGAGAGAGAAGTGAAGATGGGCGCCAAGTTGCTGCAGGATGTCCGCCAGGATCTCGCGGACGTCGTCCAAGTGTGCGAAGGGAAGAAGAAGCAGACCAACTACCTGCGCACGCTCATAAACGAGCTGGTGAAAGGTGTGCTCGGGGGCTGGGCGTCGGCCTCTGCTCAGAGCGTCGGCAGGTCCCGCCAGGTCTCGTACCCCGTCCTCTGCTCCGGCTTCTCCGGCCGCTGGGCCCCTCACTCGGGCAGCCTTAGGAAGGAAGGCCAAAGGCATTTGTTTTCCTTTTATGCTGGTCCGTCGAACAGGAACTAAAAGCTTTATGCAACTTCTGCAGTATATGGGGGGGCAGGACAGGAAAATTGGGCGCCACAGGTGCAAAGACGCAGGGCAGCCCAGGTGTCACCCAGCAACCCCAAGAGCCCGCATCATCAGTGGCCTCCAGGCAGAGCTGTGGGTTAGAGGTTGTGGCTGTGGTGTCAGGTCCTCCAGACACGCACCCTCGGGTGCACTGAACTGCTGTAGGGCAGGCGGAGCCCTGGCCAGGGTGCATGCGGTGCAGCTGGGGGGAGGGGGCGGAGGGTGCCTCTGTGGACACACTCAGGACCCAGGTGAGTGCCAGCAGGTTGGCCCAGTCTGTGCTGGGGGATTGTGGGAACTGATGCCGGCAGCCTGGGTCTCCTTGCAGGGATCTTGCCGCGCAGCTGGTCCCACTACACGGTACCTGCGGGCATGACCGTCATCCAGTGGGTGTCTGACTTCAGCGAGAGGATCAAACAGCTACAGAATATTTCTCTGGCGGCTGCGTCTGGCGGCGCCAAGGAGCTGAAGGTGGTGATGGCACTCCTGAGCGGCTGGGGGAGGGGTGGCG